CTAAGCTTACTTGGTCAACCTTAAAATAGCGAAATAAATCAAAAGTTCAAACAATTTCACCAGTCAAAGTCAAAAACTTTTATCTTTCAATACAAAAATGATTTCATACGATAAGCACAGCTGGAATGCACTATGCATCACTCTCAGAATCTTGATTAGCGTGGCCAGTTAGTTGCCAGATCATTCAGATCGATAAACGATAAAATGCACATCGTTTACTCATGGGCCCGGTAGTCCAACGGGCTGGCCCAACCCATTCCATACTTTGTCGGGCTTTGAAAAAGTCTTTAGGCCCGTGGATACCAAATCGACCAATTCGAACTGATCTAACCTGAGTCAGCCGGGTTTTCTTCAGTATCGGTTGGTTTTGGGTTATAAAAAATCATAAACCAATGATTCGGTTTGGTTTCGATTTTTATATGTGAAAATCGAAACTGATCCAAACCGAATCGACTTAGTAGTTAGTTCTTAGTTAGTAGTTACAACCTACTTAGTTCCTACTTAATTAAGTTGTCTCTATCCTAGTTACAACCTACTTAACTAAGTTGTCTCTCAAACTCTACTCCTTCCACAACTGGATCCATGGATGGGCCCCAAAACATTAAGGAAATGCTGGTTTCCTTTGGGAATGTAGAATTAGAAATGAACACTTGAACAACAATTAAGTCACCACTAAGTAGAGCCGAAACCGACCCAAACCAATTCAAACTGATCAGGTCGGTTTTGCTTAACACAGGATCGGTTTCAGTTTCAATTTCAGGTAACCCAACTAAGTCGGGTCGATTAGAAAAACATCAGTAAACCAATCCAACCCGATCCGTAAACAGCCCTACCCTTCATCCCACCCGAATCCCTAACAAAAAAACCTGAGAACATTTGTGAAACTCATCCATACCAAACACCTTAATAATTCTGAAAAAAATAATATTAAATGAAAATGAAATTTATTACATTGCAACGTGAGCTTTTGACTTTTTTTCTTTTTTACTTTCAAACAGCAGATGGGAAAGCACCAAAGAAATTTCGGTGTGAGGTGCGCTCTTGTGAGAGTAAATCACGATTCTAATAAAATTCGCTGGGTGGGCTGAGACTTGCATTGTTTCGAAAATGAGAGTAAGATGGGTTTTAATTTTAAGAACTTGCATCGTTTCAATTACGGATGGAATCAAAGTCATCTTAATCAAATAGTTCGGGCTGAATTCAATTAAGCTTGATTTGAGTCCGATTTTAATTGACTTCAAATCAAATTTGAATATCGAGATAAAGTTTGATTAGTTATTCTAATTCCAACTTGACCAATAAAATGTTCAGTTCAAAAGCTTGCAAGTCTCATTCGATTAACATATATGAATATATATATATATATATATATATTATAGGATATAAAAATATATTTTATAATATACATTATGAAAATATGTTTTTGTATTCTACAAATAATATAAAAATATATTACATATTATAAAAATATATCATATATATTTATAGAATATAAAAAATATTCATTTTCAAGCTTTCAAGTCAAACTTGAGCTCATCAAATATTTAATTGAAACAATCTCGAATCAGAAAATAGAATTTGAATCAAACTCAACTCAAATTCATACGTAATAATATTTTAGTCGAATCGAACCAAGACATGTCAAAGTTTGGCTCAACTCAGTTCAATTACACCCCTAGTTTCAATTTGGCCCTAGCATGAAACAAGCCAAGAGACTTATTTCCAATACAAATGAATTATGGGCAAGAATATCAAAGGCCAAATATTTTTTATAATAGTGACTTGTTTAAAGAAAAAACCAACCTCTTCTTGCTCTTTGGGTTGGAGGAGTATCCTCCAAGGGAGAGATATTCTAAAGAAAGGATGTCTGTACCAAATTGGAAATGGGAATATGATCAATTTGTAGCTTGACCATTGGCTTCCAAATTGTGTTGATTTTCGAGTCTAATGGATGTAAGTTAGTCCTCGTTAAGGATCTTATTGACCCTTCCAAGTTCCAAACACAAGTGGAGGTCACAGGTTATACATTCAATATTTCCTCCCCAATTGTTGATGATATCGAGTCTCTTTATATTCTTGTTGATGGTGCTCTAAATAGATTAATATAAAAGTATGAAAAGACATTTGATGGAATCATCTAGAGCCGGAATGGAGCTGGCTCTAGTGGTTGAACTAATGGAGTATGGAACTTTATTTGGAAGTTGAAAATGAATCCTAAGATTAAATATTTTATATTGAGAGCTCTCCATAATGGTTTGGTGGTGAATGCTTCTTTATTCAGTGGTGTTTATGCTTTTTTGTCTTAAAATGGCCTTTTTGTAAAATTCAAGGATCAAAGCAAAAAAAAAAAAATCCATTTTTTTAAAACCTCTACCCTATGTATTTGCTCCCACTTAGCTTTATTCTCTGAGAGACTAAGACTACTTCAGTTCTCCTGAGGATTCAGTTGGCAAAACATATATGTCTTTCTCAAATTCCATTGAAATGGAATCCAAATTCCTAGTGGATATTCAAACAAGTGTGGAAGTTCAACCCCAGTGAGGATTGGGTACATCTTTCAATATATCCAAATAAAGCTTTATGTTTTTTAAGCAGTTCACTAGAAATTTATTGGTAAATCACTAAGGTTGTGTTTGGTATTATTGTCACTTCTATTTGCAATGTCTTAGGTTGGTCAATACAAATTTTATGAGAATATATATGTTTTTTTTACCACAAATTTGGTGCTTCTACTATAAATTTCAATATCTAATTCAATGCCTATATTTTTTTAATGGAAGTGATTATCTAATGTAATGTGACAAAACAATTTCTCAAAAAATTTATATTGACCAAAGCAAAACATTACAAGTAGAAGTTGCAATAATAACAAACACAACTTTATTAAGCATGCTCATGTTTTGGCCAATCAATTGTGGATATATAGGGGAGAGAGATTTGTCAATCTGCTATATTCAAACCTTTATAATTAAGAAAGAGTGCAAATACAAATATAAAGTTTAGGAATACCAAATATAAGGTTTTGTATGATACATATTTGTATTTGTACTTTTTTTCAAACGAACTTTAGGCTCAATTTGGAAGCAGTACAGATGCAAATATGTACAGCATATATACATACAAAATAATACAAAATATAAGATTTTGCGCTCTACATATTTGCATTTATACTCCTTCCATACTCAGCCTTGGGTTCTATTTGGATAGAATAGAGTGCAAAGCCTTATATTTTATATTGTATTTATACTGCACATATTTGTATTAATTTATACTTTTTTTTTTTTCAAATTGAGCCTTAATACAAATACAAGTATACAAGTGCAAATACACGTTTAGAATTGCACGGTAGATAGATATTTGTACTTACACTCTTCCAAGCTTAGCCTCAAAAAATATCACATTGGGCTGTGTGTAGCGTATTCGACTCGAATCTCCGCTATTATTAATTACTGTTTTTCATGGAATAAAAAATAGGTGCAAGAAAAACGTGATTGGAAATACCTCCTTCTTAACGACCGTTCCGTTAAAAAGAAAACCTAGAGATTCCGTAGAATTTATCAATTATACGGAAAAACCTTGTCTGTTTGGGTTGGGAACCTTGGCTTCAAAAACGGTTGTTTTCGAAGCTCGCTCAGAGAATGAAGCAAGGTTTCTTCTTCTTTTTCACGTATTGGCCTTACTGAACTGATCAGGTACGTATCTATAATCAATTGCTTTGATGCTTAAATTCTTCATCTCTATAAAGAATTGTGAGAGAAAAGTTCAATCCTGCTGATCACGCTCAAATATGTTAAACTTCTTTCATCATGATTTCAATAGAAGCTCGACCATGTCGGTTTCAATAGAAGCTCTGGCGATGGCCGGAGTGGACTACATGGAATGCGGTATAGATCTCGACGAATGGGAACGCAGGGAATTTGAACCGCCTCCACCTTATTTACTTGCTGAAGATGCCTACAGAAAGACTGAATTTTATGGCTCTCCTATCACCCGCTCTTTGGTAAATGCCCGTAAGAAGCCATCATCTTTTAGTTTGTTCCGCAAAGAAGCTTACTCCACAGCCAATGGCAAGGGTGATGGCCTAGATTCTATCGGGTGTCATCAAAACGTGGGACTCCCCAGAATTATGGACAAGCGGAAGAAGATGACCGGCGGACTAAAATTCACGGCGACTGACGACCATGATGTTACAGGCAACAACAAGGCTACCGATAAAAACTACGATGGAACTAGAAAAGGATGCAAGGCATTACCAGCACAACTAATAACAACTTGTTGAGAAAGGGACTACATATTGCAGCTGTGTGTACGTTCCTGCTACAATTGACAGTTCTTAACTGCCTTACCCGACTTCTTTATGGTTTATCTGTCTTCCTTGTTTGCGCTTTTGTAATTAGCTTTCACTAATTTTACTTTTACCCACTTCTCTATCTCCTTGAAGGTTAACTCTTGGTCTTGGATACGCGTTACTGAACCTTACTCATCAGTGATGTACCAAAGCAATTGCTAGCTAGTTAGTTTTTGTTAGTGACGACAAGTCTTCCAACTTTTTTCAGCAAGTACTGATTTTTTTTTCGTACAATTTACTGTAAATACTGCTGGAATTTGGAAATTATTAGTGAAATTGATCCTTAGAATACTGTTACATACAGGGAGTTATGCACACGAGGTCTTCGACTCGTGCGGTACTCCATTTTGAGAATACAAACGTCACGCTGTTTGCTCTTCAGTTTGGCCGCGACCATAAATTGGCTCCAGCTGGTGCCGAATTGACTTCTAGCTTCTAAGTTCTTAACTATCTTCTATACCTTTGATTTGCTATTAGAATTGAATGTGACACTGGCTTCATCTATCCTTTTATTTAAGTACATTTATATGGACTTCACCATTAAACTGAAAGGCCACATTATTATGAAGTTGATTTAAAGCCGCTCAAGTAGGTAATCCTTTTGACATTACCCAGGCCATTCTGCACATTCATTTACTTTAGTACAAATGTATGAGTGCAAATCCGGTTCACTTTTATTTCGGGCTTTAATTCATTTGTAAATGGTAATGAATAGAACAAAGTGAAACCTAAAAATCAGTATTTGCTCTCAATTCATTTGCACTATCATAATTTTGCACCAGTGCAAATAAAATTTCACCACATACAAACCAATTCTCTTCTGGAAGTAGGGAAAAAAGCTGACCTTTATATACATATTCCGCATTTATTGTGATTTCTTTGCAGTATATCATCACAAACTTTACCTCTCAATCACCCTGAAGATCAACCTGCCAAAGATGAATTAGTCTAAACAATAAAGGAAATGATTCCATCTAATAATCCATTTATCTTCCACCCGACAATTCAATTGCTTCCTGGTTATACATGGAATCTTCTCCCCAGTCAAATCTTCTCCTCATTCTCTCATACTCCTGTCTACGAGTAACTTCAACCCGCTGGCACTCTTCCCACCTCTTAGCAAGTCCATCCCCTTCTAGCATCCGAACCACCTCTGACATTGTTGGACGGTCCTCAGGTGATGTCTGAGTACAAAGCAATGCAACTTGGATCATCATCTCCACCTCTTGGCTGTTATAATTCATATTTAGGTTGCGATCTACAACAGCATCCAATTGTTTCTCCCTCTCTAGCTTCGTCACCTGCACCACAAGTAAAGAAATGGGTAAACAACCTGTAGAAGATTCCAATGATCCAAGCAATGAACTAGATATGGCCATGTAAGGAATGAAGGATTTAACATTCATTTTGTTGGTGATTTCACCCAGATTTTCTCAACCTTCACTGGAAATTTTTGCCCAACTAATTCAATATATCATCTTCAGTTGTCCATAAAGGCAAAAAGCATGTCAAGAAAAAAATCACCAAGTAGCTTTTGCAACTCTTTGACTAGTGTCTTGGTGGATTTTTCATAAGGACTAAGTTGAATGAAGTAACTATCTCCGATATTATTTTACTGTAAGTATTAGAAAATCCACCAATGTGGATTCAGTTTAGAAAATCCAATGTAGTTGTAAGGGTCCATTTTCTTACAAAGCAAATCTGAATCGGATACAAATTTTGCACCCAGACTGGTTCTGCATCTGTTTATTTGTGACTATGATTTGCACTCTTACCCAATGTAATATTTGATTTTTCTGTCTCATTTGCACCCATTAGCAGTGCAAATTTTGCAGCTGAAAAGCTGATGCAAAATTTGCACCACTTTCTCCTACCTTAATTCCCTCTTATAAGTGGGAACCACATCAATTTGCTTTTTATCCTACTCCTCCCAAACAAATAGCCTTCCTCCATTCATTCTTTCTCATATAAATTAGGGACTACATTTTACTTCTTACAAACAAACAAAAAATGGCCAAATTTGAAGGAAAACTAAATCAGAATCTACTCAGTTTATTTGCACTCCCATGCATTTACAGTTTTACACCAATGCAAATGAAATTTACACTAAAAACGAACTGAGCCTTAGGAAAGGGTTTTTAGTGGTGCCTTTTACATGGCTGAGTATAGATTTATTTATATGCTTTTGTGTTTGTATGCATACAAGGTGGAGTGAGATCTTTATATCCAGCTAAGTGGGCTGCAGAGTTAGAAAAAAAGATGAGAGATTTTTTTGTGTAGGGGGTGGAAGGAGGAATCAAAATTTCCAAAGTTAATGGGGGTCTAGGGATCAGATCAGTAAAAGAGATGTAAACACTGCCTTGCTTGGAAAATGGTTATGGAGATTTAATGAGCATACAGATAGTCTGTGGAGAAGGTTAATCGTAGCCAAATATGGGTCCAGTAGCAGGAAGTGGGAAATAGATCTTCCTACAGGTGTTCAAATTGGAAGGCAATTCAGAAAAACAGCCTCAGTTTCTGAAGGGCATAAAATATAAAGTGGGAAATGGTCAGAGGTGCTCTTTTGGAAGGACCACTGGTGTGGCGAGGGCCCTCTGATGACCTTGTTCCCTGATATATTTGAAATTTCTGCAAACAAGAATGTAACAGTAGCTGATTATTTGGAAAGGTGAAATGGACATTGTATTTGGAACTCTCAATTCAGGAGGAACTTAAACGATTGGGAGGTGGCTTCTTTAATCAGCTTGCTTCAGACTCTATATGACTCAAAGACAACTGGAGTAGGGGAAGATAAAAGGAAATGGCTGTTTGAGAAATCGGGTTCTTTTTCTGTGAAATCTTTCTTTAAATGTTTGTCAAGGATGTATACCTCTCCCTTTCCAAGTGACAGGATATGGATCGGGACTGTACCATCTAAACTGTTTTTTTTTTTTTTTTGTCTGGTAAGTAGTGCTGGATAAGATCCTAACCAAGGAAACTATAGATAAAAGAGGCTTAGAGGTGGCAGATATGGCTTGTCCTTTATGTAATGGAAATGTAGAGTAGTCTAGCCATTTGCTGATACACTGAGTTTACTCACTGGGTTTGGCTATGACTGCTAGGCTTGTTTGGTGTTAAGTTGTGATTTCCAGCTGATGTGAAAAGATGGGCATGGTTCCTAGGAGGATAAGCAGGTCTGGAAAGGTAGCGTAGAGCAGCCTCCCCTCAGCAGTCTTCTGGGCAGTGTAGTGTGAAAGAAGTAGTAGAATCTTTGAGGGGAGTCAGACCTCAAAGGTAGAGATCCTTAACAAAATTCTGGGGATAGTTCACTCATGGTTGGCAAATCACCCTCAATTTAGAAACAGACATTCTTGTTCTTTTTCAATTTTGATTTCCTTTTTGTAAGGAGTGGATAGTTTTTGTTTTGGGGGTTTGGCTGTATTGGGAAGATTGTACATCCTCTGTTCAGCTTCTCATTGTACATGGGCTTTATTGTATTTTGGCCTTTTGTTATTAATGAAATACTTTACCTTACAGTTTCAAAAAAAAAAAATGAAGATGTTATAGTTTCTCCCAGAACTGGCTAGCCACAACCAAATACCTTGTTTTCTAAAAAAAACAAGAACATAAAAAAGGGACCATTTTCCAGTAGGTAATAATAGAAACTTATCAAGATTAAGTAATCTTACATGATCAAGCAATAACACGTCATCTTCTTCTTCCAGACGTGAGAAGTCTATTGCACGCTGTCCAGTTACAAGTTCTAGAAGCATAATCCCATAACCGAAGACATCAGTCCTCTCTGATGACTTTCCAGTGGATAGGTATTCAGGTGCTATGTGACCCATGGTTCCACGAACTTGTGTTGTCACATTTGTTTTCCTTACATCCACCAGCTTTGCCAGGCCAAAATCACCAACAACTGCTTCAAAATCTTCATCTAGTAATACATTAGCAGCCTTGACATCACGATGAATGATCTTGGGATTACAATGTTCATGAAGGTACTCAAGCCCACGAGCTGTGCCTAAAGCCACTCGCTTTCTAGTAGGCCAATCTAGCACAGGTTCCCCAGGTTTGATCTCTGTACATGTCAGAAAAAAGATATACTATAAGAAATAGAGGGAGAATCTATACACATGAGTAGGAGATATTCCAAGATTCATAAGCAACTGAAGGGCAGCCCAGTGCATGAGGCTTCCACCAGTCGGGAGTCTGGGGAGGGACAGATGTACACATCTAGAAATAATAAAATGCCAGAATATTTTAACTTAGAATGTCTCTTTACATTATACCATGTTACCTGTTTAAGCACAAAACTACACTGACAAGCAGAGCCATTGTTAAGTGCCCCTCCATAAGAAATAACTAAGAGTCACTAATTTCTACTTGTTGAAAACACAAATTCAGTTTCTGCACTAACAGTGTTCTGAGGTGGTGCAGCCTGCAGAGACCCAGATTCTAGAATTTCATTTATGTCAACACATCATGGTTGTCAAATTTGTGAATTCTGATCAAATATTACAATTGGATCATTGGATATCTCAAAAAAATTTATAATTATTCTGCTAATCCTATGATTCAATTGCTGAATCCTATATTTATCCAAAATATGGAATTCAAAATCACTTTAAGTGGGATCTAGTATCATTATTATTTTTTAGTTTTAATTTTTAACAAGATTTTTTTTTTTTTTTTTTTTGTAAATCTCTTGCTAGAATAAGACTCATCTTGGTTCTTTAAAACTTTTCTGAAGACTGTTGATAAAGGGCCATTGCCCAAAGTTAGTACTAGCAATCTGGAGTCTTGGTAAGGTTGGGCTGTAAATCCCTTGTCCTCACTTGGCAGCCCGAGATTTTACCATTGCATCAAGCAGTGACCCCTATTTAAAGACTGTTGATATTATAATAAAACGCCATATCTGAAGATGTATCTGACTTTATTTTCTATTATATGTAGGTTAAAAGAACCATTATGTTTCAGTTAATCGACTTTCTCAAACTTTTTTATATTATTTTGTGCTTATAGCCTACTGCCTGCAAGTGTCAAATTATGCTGTATTGATACGAAGGTTTAAAGTATCAACACAAATACACCCCATATCGGGCATATCGTAGTGTATTGGCAAGCCACCAATACTCAAAATATTTCGGTGGGTGTTTTGAATGCTCAGTGTCTATCTTTCTCTCTCAAGTGATTTCTTATCACCTTCCTTTTTGTAATCTTTCTTTTATGAATTTAATGTTTATTTTCAAAAAAAAAAGGTTCGGAATTGTGGGTATTTTGATGGGGGGGAGGCAGGCCTAAGACTGACCCCCTGACCAATCTTGAGGAAAAAAAAAATTTGATGTTTTGTAGTATCAAAACACCCGATACGCTTGCTCGTGTGTATTGGGTGTATCAATACTTTAAACCTTGATAATACTTATATGGTGTATCATCATCATCATCATCCATGCCCTATCCCAACTACATGTGGATTAAAAATGGGGCAACAGTATTATTTATATATCCAAAGTTTCATTTCATATACTTGTAAATTTTTCACAAATTTTGAAAAAAAAAAACAGAAATAATCGTACAGCTTTTAATATGATTCATCATTCATAATTCCATTCAAATCAACCTTCCCTATGATTTTTTGATGATTAAAGATTATATTATTATTAATAATTGAAACAAGAAAAGAGGGGTTGAGACTCAAATGCATGGAGTCTGATATAATCTGTACTATATGCCGCAGAGGGGCATTCTTGTCTTTTCTCTTTCTTTTATTATGTTTTTGGTCACCCTACTATTTAAATTAAAAAGCTGGCGCCACCAGAATTAACTTTTGGCTCTCATGCTCTTCTTCTTCTTCAACCGATGCAGCATAAATCTCCTCACTGCATCAGTTGAAGGATTGCTCTGTTCTTCCTGGACTGAGAATGAAGGAAACAAACTCTGTTTTGGACTGAAAACTGTTCGTCAGGATTTCTCTCATCTGTTCTGGGCTGAAAATAAACTTGAGCGATTCCAGAAATTGTTGATGATTGGTTGATTCTTCCTAAGAGGTCGGCTGTTCCCTTTTTGTTGTTCTTTCTTTCTTTGTCTTGGACTGGTAAACTCAGAATTCTCTCGGACTGAACAGGGAGACCTTTTTTGAACCCTTTTTTTTTTCTTGGTGTAGATACCAAGAACAGGTTAAAGTTTTCCCCAACCAGATGATCTAAGGTGGGTTTAACCCCTTCTTTGTGGGTCGGATGATCCAGAAACCAAGTTTCTTGTGAGAATTTTTTATAGGTCATAGTGACCTGATTTGGCTGGCTGGTAGAGCAGTAGCTCACACTGATGTTTGTGGCTAATATTAGCCTTGGGGGGATCTGTTACACCTGTGAGAGTGTTCAGGTGACCAGCATAGCAGCAGATTACATCAGAGTCCAAATAGACAGCCATACAAAACATCATGCACTTACTATACATGAGAACAAGAAAAGATTCTGTTTAATAAAATTAGGATAAAAATTATCTGGTCATATTTCCCACAGAAATGATTATATCTGCAACTATGAAACTCTTTAAGAATGAACACCAATAACAGCAAAAGTCTCAACCCTCCCAATAACCACTGCATTTGAACATTGTTTTCCTGCAAAAATCTCTGTTGTGTTCTTTCCAAATGCTCCAACAGATAAATAAGGGAACCAGGTTCCACAATGGTCAACAGCTGAAACCACTCAACAGCAAAGAGGCAATGAACAGAACAGTGAAGTGGACCCAAATTTTATACAAGAAAGGGCAGGAAATTAGATGGAGGACAGACGACTCCACCATGTTTCAAAGAGTGTTTTTGTTCTCTTATGACTATGATACATTTATCATGAGGAACAAGGCCCACCACTGGCCCTGCTGCAAAATGTCCAACAGATAAAATACACTAGTCCACCATCCACCCATAATCTCAGGAGCTAAATCGAAACAGCTGGGCCCCAACACAGTTCTTTCACCTCAATGCCTTCCCTAGTTAAGCTGTCAGCCAATGAACTAGCCGATATCTGGATCCACCTGAATGAGGATATCAGGCCAGAGATTTCCCCACCCTGATGTGGTTTCACAAGAGCTAAGGACCCTTAAAACAATGTCATAAGCACTGAGGACCCTTTATAGGAGACCCAAGCCAACCCTAAATTCCCCATTTCTTTCACAATAGTTAAGCCTAAGGGCCCTTAAGATCATTGACAGGATAATCTACCATGCCCTGAATCACATTGACAAGCTGAACTAGGCAATTTCCTAGAGAAAAGGGAATTTTGTGAGGATAAATAATCATGGAAAAGGTCTTCTGGATATCAGTGTCCAACATCACCGTTATGACAATTCATACTTGCAAATAGATCAAGACAGCCAATTTCTCTTTGAAGCTCTTTGAAGATTAGCTAATTTTGGTCCCAAATCAGGCTAAAGGACTTTGAATACAATTAGCACTGACATTACAATTTCAGTCACTTCAAGCAGGGGCCTTGTGTATCCATTCAGTATGTTTAAAGGAAGAAGCCTGCCCTATCCAGCCTAATATGGTACTTCTAGTTGGTTATGTAACTAGGCTACCGATTAACTCAATTTTCAAAAGTAAATATATCTAAGAAGGCATAAAGTTATCCTATAAATGGTAAGTTTTGTGTAGTTTCAAAATATTTTTCAATTAATCAGATTTAACATGAACTCTGGATCTAACAAAACTATTTTGTAGAAATAAGGAAACAGGACATCAGTTTGGCTGGCCAAACCAGATTTAGCCTCGAAACATGCTTTCTTTGTCAAGGACAAGACCAACCCCACTAGGTCCATTTTCAACCATAAATACATGAAATCATACGATACTGCAGCAAAGAACAGTCATGATCACTGAACAAAATAAGTAGTACCTCGTAAGCGGTAAGCAACACTTAAGTTCTGCATAAAGGGATAGACCAAGAGCCGCTCTGAGGGTGTTGTACAGAACCCAATTAGCCTTAGGAGATTCTTGTGAACTGCTACACTTATCATCTCAACTTCACGTAGAAAAGTTGCTTCTCCAACAGGACTTTCATAATCAGTTATTCGTTTCACTGCAACCTCTGTACTATCTGCAAGGACTCCCTTATATACCTTTCCGAAACCTCCTTGTCCAAGAATGTTTTTCTCACTGAAGTCATCTGTAGCTAATTGTAGTTCTCTCCATGCAAACCTTTTCAATTGACCAAATGCAATTCTTCTATCATCTTCACCTGAGTGTCATAGACATAACTCGTTCAGCAATTTCCAGATATTCATAAATGCCATGACAGAGATCATAATTTTCAAGGATCACTTCAAATTAACAGTTCCAAGAAAACACTCAATGGGATATTTTATTAAAGTCTCTGCCCAAACCAGCTCAATAATTTTACCAAAAAAGAAAAATAAAACAGCTCAATAAAGCACAGTAATCTAAAAAAATTAAGAGCTAATCCCTTCCATGACAGAAGTAGAGAAAATATTTAATTTTTTTATCAGCAAAAGAGAATTTAGTTATTTATTAAGTTGAGAAACAGGTTATAGTTTCTTTATCTGCTCTGCACTCCAGAATATTACACCCAGATTATGTAGATCAGCATCCCACTGTTGTAATATAACCAGCTACAATTTAACCCAAAATAGAGGTCTATCAACTCCCTGTTTTTCTAGAGTAGAGAAAATATTTAATTAATAATATATTTTTAGATTTCAAGTGGATGAAGTGCAGAGTGAATTTGCATTTTGCAGTCTATGTTGGCCAGATTACAGCAAGAGAACACAGCTAAACAAGGTAACCCAACATCATGATTTTCAATACTATATGATAGGAAAATACCAGTCAGATTAAAAGAGTGATTTGATAAGATGGCTGTCGAGCCAGCAATGTAATGTGGAATAGATTGTTGTGCAATCAAAAGTAAAACATCCATAAAATAAGAAGCAAGGAACATGATTAAAAAAATTGAAACATTTTTTAATTTTCACAAGATATTTCCATTCCATAGGTATTAAAAGAAAATATTTCTGGAATATATCTCAACATATTCCCTAGTGCTTTAATATTTTTGATATTATTTCATTAATTTTTACTTTGTTAATTATATCAATGTAAGGTAATAAATTAACATGTATATAGATATCATATAAATAATTTGTTTTGATATGATTCTTTTTCTCTTTAACATCATTCATTATAGATAACTCTTTATTTCTTACTTTTCTTTATAAAATATTTTTTGTTTTACATAACTTAATTAAATATAGTTAATGTTTTACTATTTAAAATTCTTAGAAAAAGATAAAAACATATAATAACAAGAGAAGCATGTTCACATGTAAACCATAACTTTCACATTAAATAAAAATAATATATTTATAACTAAACTATCAACAGATGGTACTTTTTTATATTATATTATAATGTACAATGATATAATAAATTTGTAAGCACATAAATTTGTACTATAATAAATTCACATGAAATTTCAGATATTTCTGACATTTTTATTCTTAAGTAATCGACATTTTGACCACAACCAACATTTTAAACCTTGGAAAAGACGAGGATGCTGAAATAGATGAGTGGCAAAACTAGAAATGAGTGCATTCATGGAAATCTAAGAATAGCAGTAGCCCATAGATGATAAAATGAGGGAGTCTAGAATGGTTATGAAAAATTGTTTGACACAAAAAGTTGACATGATCTTATCTTCTCCTTTTCTTGATTTGCAAATAAGCAGCTGCTTGATGTCTAGATCACAATAAGAACATCTAATCAAGATGCTACTTGACCCATATGGAATAAATATAGTTCCAGAAAAATATTATATTTGATAATGCTAATGAATTAATACAAACAAAATAAAAGGCAGCAGAGCATGGATAGATGACTAAAGCATTAGAAACCTGGCAAGTCAATCAGCAATATAACTATCCATTTTTATCATTAACCAACAAGAAATAAAAACCTGCAACATCTACAAAGGGTTCACGTCTGTAGCGTTTATGTTTGCCCTTCAACAGAAGAAATACAAATCCTCCCAAAAGGAGCCCAACTACTGCTCCAATAACTCCGAATATAATTCCAATCTTCGATTTATTTGAAGTACCTACCAAGAAAGGAAAGACATAGGAAGTAGGCCTATCAAAAGATGAGAACAATATGTTCTTACAAAGAAACTCTAAAAGAAAAGGTTAAGTCAAAGTAGCATCACATAAATTAGCATTTAAATACCTGAATTGTTACTATCAGACACACAAAGGTGTGGAAAAGTTATGCCACAGGTCAGGTTGTTTCCTGTAAAACTATGCCATGTGAGATCAAGTTAGCTGTTGAAATTCATGCAACATTAACAATTGAACATGCATAAAGACTACAAAACAATGGAAAATTATGGAGCATATCAGACAATGTCACCCATACTTGTACAGCTGTACTTGAAATAAAGCCTCAGGTACTTGACCACTGAGATCATTGGAAGCTAGCTGACTGTCAAAATGGTCCATTCCGTATTGTCAATACTTAAAAACTAATATTTAAAAGAATACACACCAACATATCACTTATAAGATATAAATTTAAGCACAGCAATTCAACTCATTTCATGCATTCATCCAATAGGACTAAATTTCCATTTCATGATGCTTTCTAAAACATACAGATTCATCAATTCTGGAAGGGCAGTAATGGACTCCGGGATTCTTCCGCTGAGATTGTTTTGGCTCAAAATCCTGCTTTCATAATCAAGCAAGTCGCAATTTTAAATGGGAAACGTGCAAGATGCCTCCTAGAATAAAGTAGTTCAATAAAATCCAACTGATGCAGAAAGTAATATTTACAGGAACTGAAGCTTTTTAAGATCACCAAGGGAAGATGGTATTTCTCCAGTTAAGTGGTTATCTTGCAAATCCAAGCGTGTCAAACCAGACAAATTTCCAAAATCCTTTGGTATCTCACCAGTTATGCCATTACCTCGCAATGTCCTGCAAACATGAATATAATAGGTTCCATTAATGAAAGCATAATTAATTATTAAAAAATGAGAAGGAACATAAGAATCAAAACTATTTTTCCAAACATATGCCAAAAAATATGAAAATTCATACAACTGAACTCTCTATGAAGCAAAAATCTAAAGTGACCATATTTCCAGTTTTAATTCAGTATCATGGAGACTTCGAGCCATCAATTTATTTCTTTCAGTTTTAATTTTCATAAGTGAAAGAATATCTCCTTTATCCAAGTTTCAAGAAAAGCAAAATAAATAGCCTAGATGTTAGCAAGATAAGAGTGTTACATATATTGTAGATAGTTTTTCCTCTATGTTTTTCTCCGTGATCTTTTTCCATCTAAGCTTAATCTCGATCTTTGTCAGATGGAAAATTAATAATGGACTCTAGAATTCTTCAGAGGATTACAGGAGGAAGCTGGAATGACTTTGAATATTTGGTATTTAAAAGGAACTCATAATGACCAATCATCCATACAATGTATAAAACTGAAATACTTCTGCCTTGAAAATGATATGTTCTCTACATATTTCAGTATCTACTCTAGAAGTAAATTTGAAACATTTGCAGTGATATGTACAAAAAAAGGCTTCTTTTGAATGTTTTCATAGGTATTTCTTTTCATGTGAACTATACCAGAAAAAAATCCTGAAAAGAGCATAGAAGAAGATGTTATTTCCCCATCATAAATACAAAGGAGACATCTGGATCACCATTCTGTTATCCAGTCCTTTTTGCACCTTCTGTAGAAAATAAAACTCTTACTTCCACCCATTGTTTCCTCCCATAGTTTTCCCTTTTATCTTGCTTCAGTAGCATTATCATCTTCCTCATAATCCCATCACCCAGCAATCTTAGGCAAATTGTTTTCCTTTTTTTCACCTTGATCGTGGCAATAAAACTCTAAATAGAGGTGTCGATGGAAGCTTTTTGTGCAGAATGACAGAATATTGTAACTGTATATTTTATACAGTGCAACTTGGGCAGGCTCAGGTTGAGGATTTGTTAACTGATGCTGTGTAAATCTTCAAAGAAATTACAAGACTCTCACCCCTGATATTTTACTTGATTTTAATAAACTTATGATAATTTCAAACGTCCAACCTATTAGAAACTTTAAGTCTTGCCTGTATCCCTTGAACCACATGATTTAGTGTGTACTCAATTATTCCCCCTTTCTATCAATTATCATTAAGAATGCCATGCCACGGATAGTCTTCAATTGTTTTACGAAATGGAAATATTAGTTCCTTCCTTCATCAAGAAGGGTTTCTTTGAACTGTTACCAGTTCTTTTCTTTCAACATAATGATGAATTAGGGAAAACAAAATCTAATATATATATATATATATATCGCACTCCATACATACAGGCTACGAAGAGTCTTCAGAACTCCAATCTTAGGCGACAAGGATCCAGAGAATCCCATATACGACAATGTTCTGCAAACAAACATGAAGTCACCAATTAAGAATAGACCATGCTGAAAACATTCATATTAGACTTGGCCACTTGATAAAATATTCTTATTAGATACTTGAACATGGTAAATATAGCCAGTATGGAATAACATCCCAGTTAACAATCAAAATGAATGGGAAGATACATCAAACAATTTATTTAGACAAAATATCAAACCTAACTTACAGAGCAACAACATTAGAATTAGAATCACAATTAACGTAGGACCAAGTGCATGGAGTAACTTGATTCTGGATCCAGTCAGAGAGCTGATTGTGAGAAGCATTTAGTGAAGTCTTCAATGAATACAGGGCATCTCCTGAAATCAAATTTAGGAGCAGTCATCATCCAATTGAGCTACAGGTACAATTAGTAGCATTCTAGTAATTCCTGTAACCTTAATAATATTTTTAGGAACCAACTGGTTCTACGGTTTTATAGCATTCTCTAATATCAATCAATTAATAATTTCACAAGGAACTTTCTTTGTACTATTAGTTATTATAATGTATTTTTTCAAAAAGGGAAAATATCCTAGGATTTCAAAATTCAGAAACTCCAAGCCTGAAAGAGTTGCAGGAATGACGAATTGTACTTCAAAATTCAGAAATAAAGGGAAAAAACGACATAACAAATAAAAGTTGGTTCAGTTACATCTTCCAATCTTCCTTCTTTTCAGCATACTGCATATAAAGAAAGACTAGCATTCGGATTCATGCTTCCTACTCACACAATAGCTGTCATCATAATCCTACTCATACAATAGCAGTCATCATACCAACAATGTGTAAAATCGAAGTCCAAGAAACATGTTAAAATATAAGTTAATTTATTCAGGACTATACTGCACAACCTTCTTTAGTTGGTAGCACTTCCCATAGAAGCTGTCAGTTCTCCAAGATCCAAATAATTAGGTAGTATAGTAATGGAGTTTAGGAACCATACCTGAGTGCAGTTTTGTAAAATTCGCTTCACCTTAAAAGGTTCTAAATGAAAGAAAAGGGCAATAATAAGCTTGCTTCAAACAAACCAAGAAAAAGGTTGCTTCAACTTTCCTAATTAAGTTCACCTAATAATGGTAAATCTAGAGACAGCTGACCAGGATTCTGAAGTATATAATTCATATGGGTGCAGCCAATGTGCTAATCAAATTACAAGGAAAGTGGGCAACTGAGCAGGATCATGAATGCATAATGACAAAATGCATAAGGGTGGCAAAGAGTCTACCATCTAATAGGATTAGGGTGTCAAAGCACAACATAATCATAATATCATTTTGTATATTGTTATCAATAAAGTCTATACTAATGGGTCATTCCCAATGTTGGTCCCAGATAAAAGGGGTCTTGGGAGAAGTGAATGGATGTTAGCCCAACCTTTGGCATTTTTTGTTTAAAGTGACCACACTCAGAACCAAACGTACATTCTCATACCTATCAGCCTACGATTTTCCCAGTGCACCAAGCAATGGCCCCACATTATCAAGGTATTCCATCATTTTGAAACCACTTGTGCTGTCAAATACCAAGAAAACAAAGCATTCTACCTTGAATATTAGCTGCCACAAAACAATGCAGAGAAGCCAGTAATAGAACTGCATAAATCAACTCCATCTTTATCAAACATTACTCCCAGTAGGCAATCCAATGCATTAGTTGAACTTTAACGTACACCGGAATGAGTGCCATCTCTGTAAATGTCTCAATATCAGGTGAAATAGATATACATGAAACAGAGCTGAGAGAGAGAAAGAGAGAGAGAGGAGAAGAAGAAGAAGAAGAAATAATCAAGAGACAAGAAAAGGGGAAAAACAGGAAAAATAATAATACAAAGAAAGAAATCATAGGATTTTTAATCACAGGTTCCTTCCTATTCATTTAATTCTTAAATTTCCATAGGAGGATCTAAATTTCACTAGGACTCAGGTTAAATCCCAGTTTTAACCTACAACAAAATGCTATATGTTTTTTAGCATGTCCCCTAGTACACTTTATTATTTCTGCCAAAAAAAAGTACATTTTATTAGGGGGAAGGAGAAAATGAGAATCTAGCATCTACTTTTTCCACTTATCAATATATAGATAGCAGTCATGAAATGTCTTATAATTAAGGAACCAGAAAAGGTATTCTCCTCAAGATATATATAGGTGATTTGCTGAAGAGATAATCTCAGTTAACATCTAGTTTTATGCATGGATGGTAATTCCAGATATCTAACATCATGAAATTTTACATTTTGTGTTTTTGTTGTTCCTGTGTCTGTAATTTACACCATCCTAACCAAATCCATTTCTCTAGTTATATATATCGCGTCTAGATTTATGAACCGATATCTGAATTTTGGGAGTGAGTTTTGACTTTTGACAACCAACCTACCATCATTAATACAAGGAGGATAATAACAAAGAAGAACAACGAAAAGAAAGGAAAAGCTGACCCAAAAAGTGAATCGATTACTCAACAACCTCCCGTAGCTCACCAAACCATTAGAGCACATCAATAAATTCAACAGTGCTAAGTAATTCCGCAGCTCGCTATCAAAAAAATAATAGCCAAAACTAACCAAACAATAAAATTGACAGAATAATTAATGTATTTTCTTTCTTCTGCATTCGATTCCACTAGCTCAGATGAACCAACCAAATAAGCTGAAAAGGAAAATAGAAAGAAATAAAAACTAGAGCACGAACGCATACCCAAAAGATTTAGAGCCACCAACACCTGACTAAAACCCAGTTATTTCGTAGAACTAAGACAGAACCACGGAAAATTGAACTAAAGATTTCTATATATTGAAAATTGAGGGGGAAAACTTGGCTTTTGATCAATAGGAAACAAGTAGAGTAGTAAATCGAACTAAAGATAGAAAACATACAAAAATTAACTAAAATATAAACAGAAATAAAAAGGGAAGAGAAAAGGTAACCTTCCAAGATCAAGATAGATCAGATTCTGCTGCGTGCTGCCATAGTTGGAAGCTTCTTACAGTGCAAACAGAGACTATTACCTGTCAGATATATGAGTAAAGGAGTTTCTTCAGATTTTAGCCAGAGATTCTGCTGCCATGCATCAGCGTAATCTTTGATTTTTTTTTTGTTACCTTAAATTAATAAAATAATAATAATAATAATAATAATAATAATAATCATTTGAGCTTCTGTTACAGTTCAGTCAAGTGGAGCGGGGCCAGCGGGCTAATCCGTCCATGCTCCAGCTTCCACTTTTGACTCTCCAGTCAACAGTTAACAGTCCTAGTCTTCCGTGTTTTTGTCGCGGAGAAGAAAAGTCAGCTACCGCTGTGGGCGTAGCCTTTGTGGTAAAACGGTGAATATATACGGCAATCACGCTGAGACTGAGTTAAAGCTGTGAATCACATCACAGCCCTCGATATATTTGTTATTTGATATAAGCAAGCTTAAATTTATGAAGTGATTCGCTTTGTTGCCGTCAATTTTTATGGTTTCAGCGCAACGCTACAAAGTGGTCTGATTACTACTGTGAGTGTGGACCCACCTTAAATTAGAGGAACACAAAGGCGGAGCCACACGTTACATGGCTTTTAAGTTTGAAAGCCGGATAGGTGTTATGATCCACACGTTCTCAGTAGATCAAAACAAAACAGTTCCTTGAAATTAAGAGGCATTCATTGCGAGCAAACCATACGAATACCACCTCTTAATAACCAACCATTCATCTTCAATCTCTTCATCTAGCTGTGAAACCATAATGTGTAGTAGGGGGTGAACATGTAAGCAAGATCCGTACCAAACCGGTTGGACTCCTGGGCAAAGAAATAATATATGTAGAACATCTTCATTAGCATTAATGCTATAGATCATGCAGTCAGTACTCAGTACAAGCAATTGGCATATAATCAAGCATCAAGTTTCACTCTAGTTGTAAGGATATCATGCACACACTTACGGAGTGAACTTCAATTTCCATAAGTGGTGCAATTGCATGTCCCCATGTAAGAAACTGGGCGTGGACCCCACTGGGTTGATCAGATTGGATTAATTTGATACATGAAGAGGTTGTAAAATGTCCATGTCAAGTATATGTCCACACAATTAATTGCTTTTGTTCTATAGTAAAATGTAAGGGTTAGTTAGACATCCACCTCATAGAACAATGATCAATATAATTACCAATATTACACCAATGTGTCATCATCTATCACTAAGGTTCGGTTTGATTTGTGGGAAGATTTGGATGGGATGGTAAAGTATAAAAATTTATACTTCCATTGTTTGGTTTTGGTTTGATATATGAGAAAATAATGGGAAAGTACTATTCATCATCTCCTACCTTCAGACAATGCACGATTACATTTTCGTGCAGCAGAAGCATGCACACCCGCATATCCCCCGAAAGTATCTCCACAACAGAAGCGACTGTTGGAATGCTCTGAATCGCATTTCTGAAGTAGTGTGGATCAACGTTGGAAGGAAGGAGCTTTCTTGCTCATGTGACTGAACGCCATAGTTGGGCGCAGAGAGACTAGAAGAATGAAATCTCGACCATCTGATCGGCAGTTTCTGTAACTTGGGAGTTCGAAGCGGCATTCCATAGCCAACTGCCGACAACAGAAGTTATCTTCCCATTGGGGTTCTAGTTATTATCACTTTGGGGTTTCCAACCATCGTTACTTTGCTTCCCCAAAATCTCATCCTCGATTGTTAATCTGTTGTCGGCCCATTTGTTAGCTCTGGATTTCAATATCACTTCTCTGCTGAAATGAAAGATCCTCTCACTTTAGAGGGGCATCAGTAGAGAACGTCACCTAGGGACCGCCCTCAGGGAATCGAAGCACCGCCTGTTGACGGCAAGGGAAGAAGTACACCAGAGTACCAAAGCCATTCGTGAAATCTCACTAAACCAGCTCCTACTTCTGGGTTCGAACAAGGAAGGGTTGTGCGACCCCTCCAGCTCTTGCTTCTAGGTTCCAACCTCACTGTCATTGAACCAGCCTAAGTCGTTCCTCACTCCCTCCTCTTTCTCAAATTTTTCCACCGAGGTCGCACGCTTTTGGTGCGACCCCAAATCCACAATTTCGGGATCTGACATCCCACATTTTTCTCATCCCATCCTTCTGTTTCCCTCAAACCAAATAAGAGAATATTCCCTTTTTCTTATCCCCATCCCACAAACCAAACGGAGCCTAAGGGTGTCACGCCCCCAACCAAGGTTAGGCACGAGACAACGCCACATGCTTACTAGCATGTAAGGCTTTACTTGTTCACAATCAAATTCAAAATTCTAGCAATAACTTTAAATCAAAACAAATCATAACAAAAAATATAAAAAGGTTTTAGTGAAAATTCTTGTTTATACACAAAAAAAAATATAAAATAAATCTAAAATCTAACTAATAGAGTCTACTACCAGTTCTAATGAAAAGAAAATTTGTACTAACACTCTCTCTCCCAAGCAATCCCAAGCAGTAGCTATTCTGCTTCAACATCTAAAAAGGAAGAGAAGTGAGAATCATGTGTACAACCCTTAGTAACTAACATTTCATTCCCCTAGTTGGATCAAGCGCATGGAAGAAAACAATAATACTAATAACAATAAATAATTCATAAAATCCCCATATATCATTCGTAAGATAAGTTTCAAACCACTTAATCTATCTTGGAGAAGAGAAATTCACATAGTCAAGAAAGTATCAAATTTTCTAATAGTTCACCAAATCGTAAAAACAAGTTGGATGAAACACATGCTGTGGACCAATGTTGATATATTCAAATTCAAATTCAAAGTCACATAACAATTTTCACAAGAGTAGCTTATGGCCACTTTCACCCTAGTGATAAGGAACCAGATATATGCCTTGTGATGAAGGCCCAAATTCAAAATGGATCAGTCCCAAGATGCCACCATATTCATTCTCAATGGCATGGTCCAAAGCATAGTCATATATTAAACTACGACCACTTTAACTCCAATGTTAAGGTACCACATATATGCCCTATGGTGAGGGCCCAAATTCAAAATGGACTAATCCAAAATGCCATCATATTCATCCCCAATGGCAGGGTCCAAAGCATAGTCTTATATTATTAGAATATAACATATACATCAACCCACGCACGAACCTCACAAAAGAATATATCATAGGAATAACAACATAACCAAATAAAGAATAACAACTTAAAAAAAAAGGCCATTGTTTCTTTTAAAGAATAACAATGTGTCAAATATTAGTGACTCACAATAGTCAACTAAAAAAACATCATCTAGATTCCAAATTCATAATATTCACATGCTTGGATCTCAATTCAAATAAACAATATATATATATATATATAACCATGAATTTATTTGTTAATTTACTTGATAGTTGAGAAAAGAAGAAACGAGAAAAAAAAACATATATAATTGGAAGATGAAAAGCCACTTACTCAACACGCTAAGTCCAAAGTACCAATACAAGTGATTCACAGTTTATCTAAAAGCCTATAAATCAACGAACAATTGTCACCTCCAATTTTAAAACTTATATTGATAAATTTGTCGTGTAAAAACTGTAAAGTTGTTGTATTAGTCTACCTAAATCGCTGGTAGTTTACTAGCTTAGGTTCTGACACTCCCAAATTTCCAAGTCTGCTATGTTCAAGGATCCAAATCTTAAGACTCATAACTTCTAGTTCAAAAGTCCGTTTTGCAAGTATGATATGTCGTCATGAAGGCCTCACAACCCACTACAATTTAAACATTAATCCCATCTAAAGAGATCACCAAACAACCCTTTTCTGGTAGCCTAAAAATGGCTGGTCGCTAGAATTTCCTTGAATTCCCATATTTGGGTAGATTTAGGATTATAACTTTAAAAATTCATTACTTTTAGTACAAAAATCCAAATGAGGAGATCTCAGTACCGTTTGGAAGATCTCATTGAGAACTGCAATTTAGAACCAAAATCTAGTCAAAATGTCATCAAAATGCCTATTTTTAGCGGCCTAAAGTTGGTTGATGTTCCTTGTGTTTCAATCTGAAATTTAACCTAGCTTTCCATCTACAAATTCAAAAGACACATAGTTGAATTCGTTGGGTTCCTAATGTCAGGAAGTCTCTATTAAAACTATTTTTATTGTTGGAGATTATCTAGAAAATGAACATCTGGCAAAAATTATAATTTTAAGTTTAATACACAAGAAAACGAAAAACGAAAATCCAAGGGAGAAAAAGACTTACCTAAATCATTGAGATAAATCCCCAACTTGATTCTCCAATGATTTATTGTCTTCGCCTTCTCTTGGCACTAGAAAAAAAAAAGATGAAAGAGTTCTTGCATTAGCGAAAGAAATTAGGTTTTCTTTTCTAAACACATTTTTCCTTTTTGCTAAAAAGTCTCCCCTTAAAAAGAAATTCCAAACAGCCCCCCTACAACACCCACTCTCCCATTATTAATCTTAGTGGGTTTTTTTTTTTTGGGTATTACAAAGGGGCGTTCTTTTTTTTTTGGATTTTGAGAGGGGAAAGTTGGTCAAATTCCCATTGACAAAGAAACCCATGTTCTTTTTTCAAATTTATGTAGGGATCAGGGAAAGTTTATTTTCCTACGTATCACTTACACCCATCTCCTAGGTGGGTAAATAACTTTCCCACCCGGGGGAAGTAACTAACATTTGAATGGGACAAAAATTCAGCTTTTAATAATGATTTTTTATGGCTAAAATGGTCATTGCCTTATTTACCTGGGAATTAAAAGAACATGAATAAATGCACTTACCCGGATAATTTCCTATGAAACACTTACCCGAATAAGTGCATTTAGAAAATAAGGCTTAAGAAGTATGCCTCGACCACACTAAGTATCATATAGAAAATCAACCTCCCAACCATCACCCAATATCCACATAGCTCCCTTTAAAACCAATTCTTTACATTTCAGGAAACTTGACCACAGTTGTGACACCTGGCTTGGTACTTTAGAATGCCAAAAGGATTAGCCTTAAAGGTATTTAGCATCTAGAATCTTAGCCCACAAAGCATGGCAATCAGTAAGAAATCTCCACAATAGTTTAGATAATAAGGCTTTATTTGTGATATGGGCTGGTGCAACAAAGCCTAAACCACA